CCTCACCCCTCACGCGGCTGAAACTCTGGTCCACACCTTTATCACCTCAAGGCCGGACTATGGGAACTCTCTCCTCGCCGGCCTTCCCGGCCCTCCCTCCACACTGCAGGTCATTCAGAACTCTGCAGCTCGTGTACTGTCCCGCACCAGACACCGCGACCACATCACTCCCACCCTCGCCCTCACCCTCACCCTCGCACTCACCCTCACCCTCACTCGCCTCCACTGGCTCCCCATCCCCCAGAGGATCAAATTCAAGATCCTCATCACCTACAAGGCCATTCACGGCCTCGCTCCCTCCTACCTCTCCGACCTACTATCCCCCTACCTCACAAACCCACACTGACTCTCTTTGACAGCTCATACGTGTCCAAGTGTTCAGTCACTCTGTTCCTGATGATGGATTCCAGTATTTTCCCTACAACTGACGTTAAGCTGACAGGACTGTAGTTTCCTGGTTTCTCCCTCCCTTCCTTCTTAAATAAAGGGGTAACATTCTCAATTTTCCAATCTAAGGGCACAATTCCCGAATCTAGTGAGCTTTGGAAAATTATGACGAATGCATTTTCAATTTCCTCTCCTAGTTCCTTTCACATCCTGGGGTGGAAACTACCAGGTCCTGGAGATATGTCTATCTTGAGACTCATTATTTTCTCCATTACCATTTTTTGTTTATGTTAATCTTATCAAGCATTTCCCTTTGACTTGTTTTTAGGTCCCCCTATACGGCTGGTATTTTGTCCTCATCCTCTACTGTAAAATCAGTAGCAAAGTATTTATTTAACAAGTCAGCCATTTCCTTATTTTCTGTTATAGTCTCATCTACATTTGTCTTTAAAAGACCTCCATTCCCCACGACCATTCTCTTTCTTCTAATATATTTATCAAAGCTTTTAGTATTGGTTTTAATATTCCTTGCAAGTTGTTTTTCATACTCCATTTTTGCTCCTCTTATTTTCTTTGTCTCCCTCTGTTGTCCTTTGTGGTTCTCCCAGTCCTCTGCATTCCCACTTTTTCTTGCACTTGAGGAAGCCTTTCCTTTTAGCTTGATGCAGCCTCTAACCTCTTATGTCCACCACGGTTGCTTAACTACACGATTGGAGCGTTTGCATTTTAGGGGTATGGATTTGTTCTGTATTGTATCAAATACTTTTTTGAATACTTCCCATTGTTCATCTGCAGGTTTACCCACTAACAGTGCAGTCCAGTTTACTGAGGTCAATATATTTCTCATCCCATCGAAGTTTGCCTTAATTAAATGTAAAACCTTGGTTTGGAACTCCCTCTCAAATCCAATGTCAAATTCAACAACAACAACAACTTGGATGTGTATAGTGCCCTCCACGCCGGACGGTGTCTCAGAGCTTCACAGTAACGGATCCCGGGGCCGAGCCGGGGGGAGGGGGGGAGCCAGGGGGAGGGGGAGGGGGGAGGAAGGTGACTAAAGGCGCGGTCGAAAAGAAAGGTCTTCTCTTCAGCAGAGACCTGAAAATAGGAAGAGAGGGAGCGAGGCGAAGGGAGTTCCAGAGCCTTGGGGGGTAGTGGCTGAAGGCACGGCCGCCGAGGGTGGAGCGGAGGCCTCGAGGGACGAGGAGGAGGCCAGACCCGGAGGAACGAAGGCAACGGGTACTGTTGTGAGGAGAGAGGAGGTCAGAGAGGTCGGGGGGTGCAGAGGAGAGGAGGGATTTGAATACGTGGGTGAAATTCAATCATATTATGATCACTATTTGCAAGATGTTTCCATATTGTCAGATTGATAACTAGTTCTGGCTCATTACTCATCACCAAATCCAGTGGCTTGTTCCCTTGTTGGTTCTAAAATATATTGTTCCAAAAAACTGTCCTGAATACATACTAGAACTTTGTTTCCTTCACTACCTGAGGTGTCCTGCTTTTCCCAGTCTGTGAAAATAAAAATCTCCCATTATAACCGCATTGCTTTTGCGACGTGCTTCCCTGATCTCCGTATTTATACATTTCCCCACTACATCACAACTCTCTGGAGGTCTGAAGACAACTCCCAACTGAGTCTTACGTCCTTTGCTGCTCCTTAATTCTACCCACGGTGTTTCCACTACCTGATCGTCCTGACTGAAACCTTTCCTTTCCTCTGCTTTGATAGTGTCTTTTATCAATATTGCTCCTCCTCCTTTCCCAATGTCCCTCCATTTTCTAAAAATCTTATAGCCTGGAATATTCAGCTCCCAGTCCTGCCCAGCCGGTAAGCAGGTCTCTGTGATGGCTACTACATCATACCCTTTAGAGTCTTGTAGCTCAGTGGTTAGAGCACTCGCTTTGCAAGTGAGAGACCTGAGTTCAATTCCAGGCAGAGGGTGAAACCTTGGGCAAGTTTCCATTCTCCACACAGAGCCTAATAATAATCCTCCAAAATCAAAAACAATAATAAATTGGTCATTTTCAATCTACGACTGTTTGTGGGACATTGCTGTGCGCAATTGGCTGCCGCGTTCGCCCACAAATATACAGTCAATTCACTTTACAGTGTGTTCTGTGAAGCACTTTGAGATGTCGAGAAGACGTGATTATCATAACATGATAGAATTTAGTATTATGTTAGAGAGCGATGTACTCAAATCCGAAGCAAGGGTCTTAAATTTAAATAAAGCTAACTTTGCAGGTATGAGGGAAGAATTAGCTAAAATAGACTGGGAATTAGATTAATGGATATGACAATAGACCAACAGTGGCAAACGTTTAAAGATGTAGTGCAAAATGCTCAGCGGTCACATATTCCCTTGAGGAATAAGAGCACCACAGGGAAAGCAGTTCATCCGTGGCTAACCAGAGCAGTTAGAGAAAGTATAAAAGTAAAAGAAAAGGCCTATAAAACTGACCAAAGGAGTAGCAAACCTGAGGAATGGAAGTGTCTTAGGGACCAACAAAGGAAAACCAAGAAGCTCATTAAGAGTGAGAAAATGGATTATGAGGGCAAACTGCTAGGAACATTAGGACAGATCGTAACAGTTTTTATAAATACTTAAGAGGAATAGGCTAGCAAACGTAAATGTGGGTCCATTACAGGCAGAGACAGGAGGAATTATAATGGGGGATAAGGATATGGCAGAGTCACTAAATAAATACTTTGCTTCTGTCTTAATAATAATAATAATAATCCTTGCATTTGATACAGCGCTTTTCACGTCGGAGGACGTCCCAAAGCGCTTCACAGAACACACTGTAAAGTGAATTGACTGTATATTTGTGGGCGAACGCGGCAGCCAATTGCGCACAGCAATGTCCCACAAACAGTCGTGGATTGAAACTGACCAATTTATTATTGTTTTTGGTTTTGGAGGGATTATTATTAGGCTCTGTGTGGAGTAAGGAAACTTGCCCGAGGTTTCGCCCTCTGCCTGGAATTGAACTCAGGTCTCTCACTTGCAAAGCGAGTGCTCTAACCACTGAGCTACAGGACTCCACAAGTCCACACGACTTCACGTTAGAAGACACAAGAAATTTACCAGAAATAGAGATGGACCAAGGGGCTAATGATAGGGAGCAACTCAGGGAAATTTACATTAGCAAAGAACTGGTGCGAGGGAAATTGTTGGCATTAAAAAGTGACACGTCCCCTGGACCTGATGGTCTGCATCCCAGGGTTTTAAAAGAGGTAACTCATGAGATAGTGGAGGCCTTGTGTCTCTCAGCCCCGAGGCTCTGGAACTCTATCCCCAGTGCCTTTGCCGCTTCCTCCCTTTCCTCCTTCAAGGCCGGTCTCAAGACCTTTCTCTTTGACCGAGCCTTCAGCTCCCCTCTCGACTCTCTACCCCCTCCTCGCCCCTCCCTTCCCTCCCCTCACCCTGACCATTTCCCCCTCCTCGCTTCCCTCCCTTCCCTCCGCTCGCCCTGACCGTTACCCCCGGCTCGGGTCCTGACCCAACTGTCCAGCGCCTTGGGACGTCCTCCCGACGTGAAAGGCGCTCTATAAATGGAATCTTGTTGTTGTTGTTGTAATCTTCCAAAATTCTCTGGATTCTGGAATGGTTCCCATTGATTGGAAGATCGCAAACGTCACACCACTATTTAAGAAGGGTGGGAGAGAAAAGATGGGGAACTATAGACCAGTTAGTCTGACATCAGTGGTAGGGAAAAATTCTAGAATCCTTAATTACGGATGTCGTAGTGGGATACTTAAGAGGATCACAATATGATTAGACAGAGTCAATATGGCTTTACAAAAGGGAAGTCATGCTTAACAAATCTTTTAGATTTTTTTGAGGACATATCAAGTAGATAGGGAAGTCTTGCTGCAACTGTATAGGGCCCCGGTGAGACCGCACCTGGAGTATTGTGTGCAGTTTTGGTCTCCTTATTTAAGAAAGGATGTACTCGCCTTGGGGGGGTACAACGTAGATTCACTGGGTTGGTACCTGGGATGAGGGGGATGAGTTATGAGGATAGGTTGAGCAATTTAGGCCTATAGTCTCTGGAACATAGAAGAATGAGTGATCTTATAGAAACCTATACGATTATTAAGGGGCACAACAGAATAGATAGAGGGATACGTTTCCGCTGGTTGGAGAAACTATAACCAGGGGTCACAGTCTTAAATCAGGGGTAAGCCCTTTTGCACTGAGTTGAGGAAAAACTTCTTCACTCAGAGGGCAGTGAATTTATGGAATCCTCTACCCCAAAGGGCTGTAGATGCTCAGTCCTTGAACATATTCAAGACTGAGACTGATAGATTTCTTGTGGATAAAGGAATTAAGGGATATGGGGAGAAGGCGGGTCGGTGGAGTTAGAATAGATCAGCCATGATCTTATTGAATGGCGGGGCACAGGCTCGAGGGGCTGAATGGCCTACTCCTGCTCCTAATTCTTATTATGTAAAAACGCTATATCTAATGCAAGGATTATTATTATTATTATTATTATTAAGCTGAAATTGTGCTTCTAACTAATTTGTTTTATTTCTTCTGCTACGTGCGTCTCTCTGGTGTGTGTGCGTGTGTGCGTGTGTGTGTATGTGTATGTTACAGGACCCTGGAGAGCCTGTGTATGGAGCTGATCGAGGAGGGATTACTGAAGGAGATCCACAACATCCCATTGGCTGATTTTGTGGGTGAGTCACCCCGCCCTGAACTCCGCCCATGGGACACCCCAGGCTCCTCCCCACTGATAGTGACTGTTTGTGAGTGTGAGACCCACGGGGTGTAGCGCCCCGGAGAGCTTGACAGTGGCGGAGTCTGACCCTGAGCCGGGAGGAGAGGGAGGGGTGAGGTGAACGTAAACACCATCAAAAAAGGAAGGTCTTTAGGTGGGATTTGAAGGTGGGGAGGAAGGGGGCAACACGGAGAGATTAGGGGAGAAGAGTTAAAGAGTTTCGGGACATAGTAACGGAAATCGCGGCTATCGGTGCCAGAGCAGAGGGCACGAGGGACAAACAGGAGGCCGGAGCCAGCCAAGTGGAGGCAGCAGGTGGTGGAGAGGGGGGTGAGCAGATTGAATGGATAGGGAGGTGATGGGATTTGAAACCAGGTGAGAGGATCTTGAAATCGATCCGTGTGGTGATTGGGAGCCAGTAGAGCCTGGCAAGGACTGGTGTGATGGGGGTACGGACCGCAACTTAAGTTGCGCACCGGTTCGGTGAGTCGGAGGGAGAGTCCGGGGAGGCGGAGGAGATCAGACAGTCAGGAGAGAAGACGTTGACAGGAGCCAAAGATTACGACTTCCATCTTTCCGATGTTCAGCTACAGGAAATTTATGCTCATCCGGGCCTTGATGTCCATCAAACAAGCTGACAGGACATCAGGGGACTGGGAGTCGCAGTTGGAGGAGAAGGAGAAGTGGATTTGGAAGTCATCTGCATATATGTGGAAGTTGAACCCATGTCTGTGGATGAGAGAGAGCATGTAGATGAGGAAACAAAGGGCTAAGGATGGAGCCTTGGGTTACTCGGCAGGTGACTGGGCGGGGGCGGGAGGAGAAACCATTTGCTGAGATGATGGTTAAGTAGGATTTGAACCATGCGAGTGCGGTCCCACTAAGGTGGATGAGGGAGGAGAGATAGTGGAGGAGGATGGCATGGTCGACTGTGTCGAATGCAGTGGAGAGGTCCAGGAGGACGAGGAGGCAGAGGAAACCCTGGTCACAGAGAGAGAGGACGTCATATGTTACTTTGATGATGGCTGACTCTGTGCACTGGATTGGAGGGGTTCGAGTAGCGAGGGGAGGGAGAGGTGTGAGCAAAATTGGTTTGCAACAGTGCGTTCCAGGGCTTTGGCCAGCAAGGGCAGGTTTGAGATGGGATGGTAGGGCTCGAGGTTGAAGGGATTGAGAGTAGGTTTTTTAAGGAGGGGAGCGATGACAGCTGTTTTGACGGGGAGTGGGACAGTCTGAGGAGAGCAGCAGGAGGAGGCGGCCAGGCAGATGTTATCCATCTTGGAGATAAAGAAATCCAAGACCTCTTCGCACTTGGCTGACGGACTGACTGACTGTTAGTGACACAGTGTGAGTGATTGACGGGGTGTGCTGGCTGTTGTTACAGGAGACTACAGCTACCTGGGGTCCACACTGATGCAGTCTAACATTGAGCCCATGCCATCGCTCTTCGATATCAAACAGCTGATCACGATGTACGCAGTGCTGCCACTAGGTAATGTACCCCCCCCCACACCCGACTCACCCCCCTCCCCAGCATTGCTGCTAGGTGACTCTCCCCCCACACCACCCCCCAACTCTCTCGCTCTCTCTGTCTGTGTCTCTCGCTCTCTCTCCTCCTCGCATGCTCTCTCCCTCGCTCTCTATATAAAAGCCTCTCTCTCTGAGTCACTTTGCCAGGGAAGCAGTGCACGTGCAGTCCTGTAGCTCAGTGGCTGCAGCGCTCGCCTGTTTACCAGCAGTAAATAGGAACCTGGTTGTTAGTCGATTGGCGGATCACTTTCCAGGGGTAATAATCCCCACTCCAATAAAATTGAGCTTTCAATCCCCCAGCTATTTGTGGGACCCCGCTGTGTGCAATTGGCTGCTGTGTTTCTCCCACAAAATACAGAGTCACTACACTTTACAGTATATCCTGTGAAGCGCTTTGAGACATTTCAACGACATTATAAGACACTGTATCGATTGCAATGATTATTATTGTTAAGTGTGTATTTCACTGTGATCTGACACTCAGGGTCTCAGACCCTACACGAGCGGGCCCCGCTGGTGAAGTCCATGTTGTTGGTGGGGCCAGTGGGGGTGGGGAAGAAGACCCTGGTCCATGCCATCTGCACCGAGACCTGTGCCACCCTCTTCGACCTGTCAGTCAATAATGTGGCCAACAAGTACCCGGGCAAGAGCGGCCTCCACATGATGCTTCACCTCGTCTTCAAGGTACAGACCGCTCTCCCTCAACGCTCCCTCCCCAGTAAGCTACACTGGTTAGACTCCAGCTGTTACCCCAACGTACACTCTGGGCTCCTCAAACCTTGGCTCTTGCCAAACTGCACCTAACACCCTCCAGGAAGAGAGAGCCATTCCCTTCCAGACACAGGAGATAGATTTCCGTGTGCATTTGGCAGATGTGTGTGCGACTCTCAGTCTGGTTTGGAGACTCTTAAACAATGTTTCCGAGTTCACAGTCACTGTTTGGATGACCTCACAAACAGGTGCGGGGTCTTTAACGTCCGCCTGAACAGGGCACAGACGGGGAGTGAGGTTTAACATCTCATCTGAAGAACGGCGTCTCTGACAATGGTCTCTCTCTCTCCCGCCCCCCACCCCACCCCCCCTCAGCCTGGACTGTGAGCTCAGAGACCCCAATGTGGGGCTCGAACCCACAACCACCTGACCCGAGGGGGGCTGGGTAGGTGTGTTGCTGTTTTGGCCACATTCCCAGTCGCTCTGGACCGACAGTGTTGTGTGGAGCAGTAGCAGGTTCCAGGCCTGGTCGCTCGCTCTCTGGGTTGGCTGCCCAGCAGGGATGGTGTGTTTGTGGCGTGTCTGTGGGTGGACGGGTGCACACGCAGTGTCTGGCGAGCAGGGAACGTGACGAGTCTGTGCTCCTGGCAGGTGGCACGGCTCCTGCAGCCTTCGGTTGTGTGGTTAGGCAGCGCAGAGAAGAACTTCTACAAGAAGGTCCCCAAGGAAGAGAAGGAGGTGAGAGCCTTTCCCATCCTCAACCCATCCTGTTTCGGTTCTCTTCCCGGGTGGGGTGAAACCTCAGGCAAGTTTCACCTGTGTTTACCCAGCAGTAAGTACCACCCATTTTTTTTTTGTCGATCGGAGGATCGCTTTTCCGAGAGTAATAATCCCTCAAAATAAAATCACTCAATCCCCGACTGTTTGTGGGAGAGACAGAAAGAGAGAGTGAGAGACACACACAGAGAGAGACGCACAGAGAGGGACAGAGACAGAGAAAGAGCAGCTGAGCCGAGCTGAGATGTTTCTATTCTGATATAATAACATAATAATCCTTGCACATATCAAATGCAATGATTATTATTGTATTTATTATTATCCCCACCTAGTTCCCACCTTCACCTCATCCTGATCCCGTCCTGGTCCCATTCCCTCTGCAATCCTATTCATTTCCTTGAACGGAAGCCAGAAATGGGGGGTGTTGGGGGACAGCATTGTCCTAACCCGACTCTCGTCGCTTTTAAAGCCCCCCATGGCCTTGCTCCTTCCTACCTCTGTGACCCGCTAACTTCATATCGACCTGTCCGCTCCCTCTGCTCCGCAGGCTCTGGCCTACTCCATGTCCCCTGCCCGGCCCGGCCCAGCCCACCATCAGCAGTGGTGGCCTTCAGCCTCTGCCTTTCCTCCTCCCCTCTTTCAAGGCCCATCTCAAGACCTTCCTCTTTGACCGCACCTTCGGTCACCCCCCTACCCCCACCCTCCCTTCCCTCCACTCTTCCTGATACCCCAGCAAATCCTTGACTGTCCAGCACCCTGGGATGTCCTCCCGATGTGAAATGTAATTTGTTGTTGTTGATGTTGATTTAGCTCACAAAATACAGTCAATTCACTTCACAGTGTATTCTGTGAAGCGCTTTCAGACGTCGAGAAGATATATATCAAATGCAAGGATTATTGTTACTGATGCTGTTGATGTTGTTCATAATGTTGTTGATGTTCATTATGTTGTTGTTGAGGTTGTTGTTGTTGTTGATGATGTTGATGATGATGTTGATGATGACCGACCAGTCACCTGTGGGGTACCCCAGAGCTCCATCCTTGGCCCTCTTCCTTTCCGTATCTATATGCTCCCTCTGGGCAATGTCATCCGCAGACACGGAGTAATAATAATAATAATAATCCTTGTATTTAATATAGTGCTTTTTCACGACTTTGAGACGTCACAAAGCCCTTCACAGAATATACTGTAAAGTGAATTGACTGTATTTTGTGGGCGAAACACGGCAACCAATTGCGTACAGCAGCGACCCACACACAATCGTGGATTGAAGTGAGCAATTTATTATTGTTATTATTTTTCTTGAGGGACTATTATCATGGATGTGGAGTAAGGAAACTTGCCCAAGAGCTAGTGCTGTGGGGAAGGGTTTAAACTAATTTCAAGGGGGAAAGGAATCGGGATGTAGCATTAGAGAGGGCAAACAAGTTACATAGAGGGCTCGGAGAGATGAATAGCAATGTTATTAAGGAATAATACAGAAAAAGGGATTAGACAGGGGAGAAATGCAGAACAGTCAGTCTTGGAGTGCATGTGCGTAAATGCACGGAGTGTGACAGGTAAGGTTGGGGAGCTGCGGCTCAAGTTGCCACAAGGGGTAATGATGTAGTGGCAATAACGGAAACCTGGCTCAAACAAGGGCAGGAATGGGAGCTGAATATTCCTGGCTACAACATATTCAGGAGCGATAGGGAAGGAAAAGAAGGAGGGCTGGTAATATTGATTAAAGACACGGTTACGGCCCTGGAAAGGGATGATGTACTAGAGGGCCGGTCTCAAGACCTTTCTCTTTGACCGTGCCTTCAGCTCCCCTCTCGACTCTCTACTCCCTCCTCACTCCCTCCCTTCCCTCCCCTCCCCCTGACCATTTCCCCCCTCCTCGCTCCCTCCCTTCCCTCCCCTCACCCTGACCATTTCCCCCCTCCTCGCTCCCTCCCTTCCCTCCCCTCACCCTGACCATTTCCCCCCAATGCTCGGGTCCTGACCCAACTGTACAGTGCCTTGGGACGTCATCCCAATGTGAAAGGCGCTCTATAAATGGAATCTTGTTGTTGTTGTAGAGGGTCAAAAAACAGAATCTATTTGGTTAGATGTAAGGTGTAGAAAAGGAGCTGCTACTTTGTTAGGTGTATACTATAGATCACCAAATAGAAGATAAACAAACAAATCTGCAAAACCAATAGAGTAGTGATAATGGGAGCCTTCAATTATCCTAACATAGACTATCAAAATAACAGTGTAAAGGGCAAGGAGGAGGAAGGATTCCTGAAATGTGTGCAGGATAACTTTCTGGATCAGTACGTTTCCAACTCAACGAGGAAGGGAAGCATTGCTGGGGAATGAAGTGGGGTAAGTGGAGCAGGTTTCAGTAGGAGAGCGTCTGGACAACAGTGATCACAACATCGTTATGTTTAGAGTACTTATGCAAAGGGACAAGGAGCAATCAAAGGTGAAGATACTCAACTGGAAAAGGACTAATTTTAGTGAGTTAAAAAGCGACCAAGCCAAGGTGGACTGGAAAGGAAGATTGGCCGGTAAAATAGCCAACGAGCAATGGGAAGCCTTCAAGGAGGAGATAGTTCGGTGACAGAACAAATACATTCCCACAAAGAGCAACGGTAGCGCGTACAAACCTCCTTGGATCAATAAGGAAATCAGGGTTAAAATAAAACAAAAAGGAGGTTTGTGATAAACGTCAGGTCCAAAATACAGAATATAATCAAATAGAATATAGAAAGTACAGAGGAACAATAACAACAACAACAAGATTACATTTGTTTAGCGCCTTTCATGTTGGGAGGACGTCCCAAGGCGCTGGACAATGTACAGCATTTCAGACCCGAGCTGGGGTTGGGGGAGTAAGGGAAGGGAGGGGAAGGGGGTGGCCGATGGCATGGTCGAAGAGGAGGGTCTTGAGGCAGGACAGAGGAGAACTGAAAAAGGAAATAAGCGGGGCAAAGAGATTGTATGAGAAAACATTAGTGGGTAACATAAAAGGGAGCACTAAGGTATTTTATATGCATATAAAGAATAAAAGGTTAGTCAAAGATAGGGTGGGTCCAATTAGGGACCAAAGAGGAAATCTTCTTGTGGAGGCAGAGGGCACGGCTGACATACTGAATGAGCACTGTGCAGCTGTCTTCACAAAACAACAACAACAAAATTACACGTGTAAAGCGCCTTTCACGTCAGGAGGACGTCCCAAGGCGCTGGACAGACAGAGTTAAGGGCTCGAGTTGAGGGTCGGGGTGGGGGAGGGTGGAGAGCAGGGGGGCAAACAGGGAGATCTAAAGCACGATCGAAGAGGAGGGTCTTGAGGTGGGTCTTGAAGGTGGCGGGGGGGGGGGGGGGCGAGATGGAGGGACTGCGGGATGGAGTTCCAGAGGGTGGGGGCAGAGTGACGGAAGGCCCGCCCACTGGGGCGAGCATGACGTGAAGCAGGCCGGAGCCCGCTGAACTGAGGGAAGGAACAGGGTGGTAGGGGGTTAGGAGGTCGCAGAGGTCGGGGGGAGGGAGACCATGGAGGGCTTTAAAGGTGAGGACCAGGATCTTGAACTGTATCCTCTGTGTGATGGGAAGCCAGTGGGGTCGGGCGAGGATGGCGGATGCAGCCAATGCCACAGTATCGGAGGAGACAGTAGAGAAATTGGATAAGAATAAACCGAGAGGTACTAAAAAGGTTGTCGGTGCTCAAGGTAGATAAGTCACCTGGTCCAGATGGGATGCATCCCAGGTTACAGAGGGAAGTAAGGGTGGAAATAACGGAGGCTCTGGCCACAATCTTTCAATCCTTGCACACCGGGGTGGTGCCAGAGGACTGGAGGGTTGTAAATGTTACTCCCCTGTACAAAAAGGGGTAGAAGGGTAAACCCGGGAACTACCGGCCAGTCAGCCTAACGTCAGTGGGGGGGAAACTTCTAGAGACTATAATCCGGGGCAAAATAAAACTTCACTTAGAAAAATATGGGTTAATAAAGGACAGTCAACACAGATTTGTTAAAGGCAAATCGTAACTAACAAACCTGATAGTTTTGATGAAGTAACGGAGAGGGGCGATGAAGGTAGTGCAGCTGACAAAGTTTAGATGGATTTTCAAAAGGTATTGATAAAGTGCCATATAAGAGACTTGTAGCAAAATCGAAGCCCCCGATATTAAAGGGACAGTGGCAGCGGATACAGAACTGTCTGAGAGACAGAAAGCAGAGAGTGGTGGTGAACAGTTGTTTTTCTGACTGGAGGGAAGTGCAGTGGTGTCCCCCCGGGGGTCAGTATTGGGGCCACTGCTGTTTGTGATCTATATAAATGACCTGGACCTGGACTTGGGTATAGGAGTGCAAGTTCCAAGTTTGCAGGTGACACTAAGCTGGAAACAGTAGTAAACAGTGAGGGGGATAGTAACCGACTGCAAGAGGTTAGAGACAGACTGGTAACACGGGCAGACACGTGGCAGATGGAGTTTAATGCGGATAATGCAAAGTGATGTATTTTGGGAAGAAGAATGAGGAGAGGCAATATCAGCTGATGGTACAATCTTAAAGGGGCTGAAGGAACAGAGAGACCTGGGGGTCATATAAGGAAATCTTTGAAGGTGGCAGAACAGGGAGATAAAGCTGTTTTTAAAAAAAAGGATATGGGTTCCTAGGCTTTATAAATAGGGGCACAGAATACAAAAGTCAGGAAGTCATAAAGGATGAACCTTTATATAAAACACTGGTGGGGCCTCAGCGAGAGACTGGGTTCAGTTCTGGGCCCCACACTTTAGGAAGGATGTCAAGGCATTGGAGAGGGTGCAAAGGAGATTGACCAGAATGGTACCAGGAATGAGGGACCTCAGTTATCAGGAGAGGCAGAGAAGCTCGGATTATTCTCCTCGGAGCAGAGGTTAAGAGGAGACTTAATAGAAGTTTTCAAAATTATGAGGTGATTCGATAGGATGAACGAGGAGAAACTATTCCCACTGGTGGGCCTCCCCAACTCCACTGTTTAAAAGATCAGCTCATTCAGAGCTCTGCCGCCCGCATACTGACCCGGACCAAACTCCGTACCCACATCTCACCAGTTCTGGCCCAGGCTCCACTGGTTCCCCATCACTGAATGGATCAACTTGAAGATGCACACACTCGTGTTCACATCCCTTCACTCCCTGCCACCTCCTTACCTCTCCGACCTCCTCACTTCCCAATCCACCTCCTGGCGCCTCCGCTCGACTGGTACCAGCCTCCTGCTCGTCCCTCTCACCCTCCGTCCCACCATCGGAGGTCGCTCTTTCAGCCACTAAGTCCCAAAACTCTGGCACACTCCCTCAAGGCTCCTCCATTGTTAAGCGCTCTGAGACGCTACCCTGTGTGGAGGGTGCTGTATAAGTGTCAGTTGTTGTTGTTGATAGTGATGATGCTGTTGTTGATGATGTTGGTAGTTGGACCCAAAGCGAATGAGGAGGGAGCTGCCCAAGCTGCTGAAGTCCCTGAAGCCAGAGGACCGGGTTCTGTTGGTGGGGACCACAGATCGGCCCTTTGACGCTGAGCCCCGTCTCTTCTTCAGAACCTACGAGAGGATCATCATGGTGCCCCGGCCAGACTATTCCTCCCGCTACGGTGAGAGACGGCCACAGCCTTGGCCATCCCTCTCACCCCAAACACTCTCACCCCAAATCCTCAACTAACAATGTCCTCCCCGAACAGCCTGACCTCCAACCTCCCTGCACAGCCTGACCTCCGACCTCCCTGCACAGCCTGACCTCCGACCTCCCCGCACAGCCTGACCTCCGACCTCCCCGCACAGCCTGATCTCTGACCTCCCTGCACAGCCTGACCTCCGACCTCCCTGCGCAGCCTGACCTCCGCCCCCCCCGCATAGCTTGACCTCCGACCTCCCCGCACGGCCTGACCTCCGACCTCCCAACACAGCCTGACTTCTGAGCTCCCTACACAGCCTGACCTCCGACCTCCCCGCGCAGCCTGACCTTCCCCTGCCAGTTGACCTCTGTGTATCATACAGCGTAACACACACACACTCACAAAAACAGGATACAGATGCACAGACACATGGAGCTGTGCGATGGGGTTTGGGGCTGGGGTTGGGAGCTGGGGGTGGGACGTGGTGTTTGGGGCTGGGGGTTGGGGTTTGGGACTGGGGGTGGGAAGTGGTGGTTGGGGCTGGAGGTTGAGGTTTGGGGCTGGGGCTGGGGGTGGGAAGTGGTGGTTGGGGCTGGGGGTTTGGGAGCTGGGGTTGGGGGTTGGGGTGGGACGTGGTGTTTGGGGCTGGGGGTTGGGGTTTGGGAGCTGAGGTTTGGGGCTGGGGTTGGGGGCTGGGGTTGGGGGTTGGGGTTGGGGGTTGGGGTTGATGGAGCACTGACCAGTGTGTGTGTGTTTTGTGCTGACAGCTGTGTGGAGACACCTGATCCAGAGTAAGGGAGGGGTGGTGAGCAGTGAGCTGGATCTCAGCTCCCTGGCCAAGGTGTCTGATGGCTACACCCCAGGTCGCATGGTGCAGGTGGTGAACATGGTGCTGACCGAGCAGCGCCTACGGCAACAGGTCAAGAAACCGCTGACCACCATTGATTTCATCCTGCCGCTCGCCAAGATGGAGCCCGTCTACCAAGGAGAGGAGGAGGCCTTCAAGGTAGTAGCTGAGACTCAACAACAACAACTTGCTTTTACACAGGCCCCTCGCGCAGGGTAGTGTCCCAGAGCGCTTGACAGTGGTGGAGCACAACACCGAGCCGGGGGGAGTGGGGAGGAGACCGTAGACCATGTGATCTTCGAATAGGAAGGTTTTCAGGCGTGACCTGAAGATGGGGAAGGAAGGGGCAAGGCGGAGGGATAGAGGAAGAGTGTTCCAGAGTTTAGGGGTGTAGTGGCTGAAAGTGTGACCCCCACTCACAGTGTAAAAAATAATCATACAACAAAATTACATTTATATAGTGTCTCACGTCAAGAGGAGCTGAGGGGGAGGATTCCCGGCCCCCAGTGACTGGTCGGCCCTTCCAGGTCCTGCTGATGAGCCGGGCCGGGCTGTGCTGCCATCAGCAGTGAGTGCCCCGGGACACTGCGGCCCCTCCTGGTCAGGACCCGGACTGGAGACCGGCACAGAGGGGGGGTTGGATTCTGACATTATTTTGCCAAACATATCACCTTGGAGCCAGTTTAGCTCCCGGAGAGTTGGAGACCCCACTTACCACCACCTCACCCTCCCGTCCTCCCCCTCCCTCGAGAACATAGGCACAGGCTATTGAGTCCTTCAACAACAACAAGATTGCATTTATAGAGCGCCTTTCACGTTGGGAGGACGTCCCAAGGTGCTGGACAGTTGGGTCGGGACCCGAGCAAGGGGGTAATGGTCAGGGTGAGGGGAGGGGAGGGAGGGAGCGAGGAGGGGGGTAATGGTCAGGGTGAGGGGAGGGAAGGGAGGGAGCGAGGAGAGGGGAAATGGTCAGGGTGAGGGGAGGGAAGGGAGGGAGTGAGGATGGGGGAGAGAGTCGAGAGGAGAGCTGAAGGTACGGTTGAAGCGAGCCTGTTCCACCATTTAATCGTTCGCCCACAAATATACAGTCAATTCACTTTACAGTGTGTTCTGTGAAGTGCTTTGGGACGTCCTCCCGACGTGAAAAGCGCTATATCAAATGCAAGGATTATTATTATTATTATTATTAATCAGGTCATGGCTGATCTGTACCTCAACTAATCCTTTCAATTCCAATCTCCCGCTCTCTCCCCATATCCCCTAATCCCGTGACCCACCAACAATGTATTAACCTCACTCTTGGAGGTGTGGATGGATCCGGTATCCACGGCCTTTTGGGGGAGAGAATTCCAGATTTTTACCCCCTCTTTGAGTGAAAAAATGCTTCTCGGTTTCACTCTTAAATGTCCTGGTTCTAATTTTAAGACTATTCCCCTTGTTTTGGATTCCCCACCAGAGGAAATAGCTTCTCTGTATGTACCCAATCAAATCCCTTTATCATCTTAAACACCTCAATCAAATCCCCCCTCAACCTTCCAAACTCAAGGGAATACAATCCAAGTTTACGCAGCTTTTCCTCGTAACTTAACCCTTTTAGGCCTGGTAACATTCTGGTGAACCTACACTGCACCCCCTCCGGGGCCAATATATCTTTCCTGAGGTGTGAGAATAGTCATTGATCTGAAGGAAGTGTTAGAAAACCTGGTGCCAGGACAGGTACACCTGAGATGAGGAGAAACATCTCCCACAGAGGGTGTGAGAATGGCCACGAGCCCAGGGAGGGGCAGAATTGATCAGAATGCAGGTATTTGAAGAGGAGATGGAAAGAGATTCGGGGATTAGGGGGTGTCAGGGTTCAGGGGAAAGGTGGAACCGGATTGAATAACCTGCGCTGATCTGATAGGCCTATTGAGCAGACGGGGGGGCAGTGGCTCTTACTGCTCCGGCCAATGTACATGAGCCCAGACACTGACCATGTACCCAGACAGTGACCATGTGACCAGGGTCCAGACAGTGACCATGTGACCAGGGTCCGGACAGTGACCATGTGCCCAGGGGCTGGACAGTGACCACGTGCCCAGGGTCCAGACAGTGACCACGTGCCCAGGGTCCGGACAGTGACCACGTGCCCAGGGTCCGGACAGTGACCATGTGGCCAGAGCCCAGACAGTGACCATGTGACCAGAGCCCAGACAGTGACCATGTGACCAGAGCCCAGACAGTGACCATGTGCCCAGGGTCCGGACAGTGACCACGTGCCCAGGGTCCGGACAGTGACCACGTGCCCAGGGTCCGGACAGTGACCACGTGCCCAGGGTCCGGACAGTGACCACGTGCCCAGGGTCCGGACAGTGACCATGAGAGAGTGACCTGCAGAAAGCCGTCACCGTGATGAATAGTAACCGTGTGCCTCTCGCCCCGGCCAGCGCTGGTATAACCGCACGCCACTCGGCAGACAGAGACTGAAGCAGATCCGGGAGGCGCAGAAAGAAGAGCAGCCGGGAAAGGACAAGGATAAAAAGGGAAAGAAACCCGGTAAAAAGAAGTAAACCATTCCCGAATCAGGGATCCACTCACTGCACAACTGGGAATGTACTCCACAATCAGCAATCCAAAATCAGGAATCAACTCTAGAACCAGGAATCTACTCCGGAATTGGGAATCTGCTCCAAAACCGGGAATCCCAAATCAGGAATTTACCCAAATCCGTAATCAGGAATCCACTCCAGAAATGGGAACTCACTCCAGAATCAGAAATCCACAACAGATTTGGCAATCCCATCCTGAATTCAGAATCTACTCCAGAATTGGGAATCTACTCCGAATTCCTGACTGAATGATGAGTGGAGGGCGGAGGGGGAGATTGAGCCTCGACACCCTGAACTCGGAGTGGATCTGAATTTCTGAGCCCAGGAACAGGTCTAGAACATTTTTGTATTAAACACACTGTTTGGAGATTAAAAATTTTTTAGACCAACAAACCTGGAGCAGAGACGCCGCTGAGATGAAGGTGTTGGAGTGGTTTATAGGTAACTCTGGGTGAATGGGACGGTTTCCAAGCAGTGAGAGGATCCGGGTTTGATTCCCGGGCAGAGTGAAACCTCGGGCAAGTTTCCTGACTCCGCACGCCTCTGTTTACCGAGAGGTGAGTAGGAACCTGGTTGTTAGTTAATTGGCGTATTGCTTTCCAGGGACGGTAATCCTCAAAAAAAAATTGGTCACTCAATCCACGACTGTTTGTGAGACGCTGCCGCACTCAAACTGGCTTCCGTGTGTCGCCCACAAAATACACAGCCAATCCCCTCTACAGTATATCCTGTGTAACCCCCCGGGGGCTGAGACATCTCAACAACGTGATAAGGCGCGATATCAAATGCAAGGATTATTATTATTAATACTCAGAATTTCCCCGGGAGAGTGTGCGTGTGGTCAAAGTACAGTCTAAGGTGTTTCCTTCAATAACCAACAGAATGTGTAAACACAGCAAAGTGACGTCTGTATCCGGAGAATACAGGGAATGGGACACATTATTAATAATAATCATAATCCTCGCATTTGATACGGCGCCTTATCACGTCTTCGAGACGTCTCAAAGCGCTTCACAGAATATACTGTAAAGTGAATTGACTGTATATTTTGTGGGCGAAATGTGGCAGCCAATTGCGCAGAGCAGCGTCCCACAGACAGTGGGAGATTGGGTGACCAAATTATTATTTTTTTGAAGGGATTAGTACCCCCGGAAAAGTGATCCGCTAATTGACTAACAGCCGGGTTCCTTCTCACTGCTGGTACACAGAGGTGTGTGGAGTGAGGAAATTTGCCCAAAGTTTCTCGCCGGCCGGGAATCGAACCCTTTCGCTTGCGAGGTTAACCCTCTAACCACTGCGCTGCAGGACTCCACAGAACGGGATCCAGAGAGGAAGGTGTCTCCGCTGTCTCTCGCTGTGTGGGGGAAGGAGTTAAGAGTTTGACGGCTGTCAGACAGACGGTGTGTGGTGGCCGTGGTCTGCCGTCCGCACTCACAAACAGCAGCTGCAGAGCAGAAACCATGGCCTCGGGCTGAGAGCAACACACCAGCCCGACACACTCACACACACACACACTCACCAGCCCGACACACTCACACACACACACCACACCACACACTCACACACACCACACACACACACCAGCCCGACACACTCACACCACCACCACACACCACCACACACCAGCCCGACACACTCACACCACACACACACACACACACCAGCCCACCACACACACACACACACACCAGCCCACCACACACACACACACACACACTCACCAGCCCGACACACTCACACACACACACACCAGCCCGACACACTCACACACACACACACACACACACACACCAGCCCGACACACTCACACACACACACACACACCAGCCCGACACACTCACACACACACACACACCAGCCCGACACACTCACACACACCAGCCCGACACACACACACACACACACCAGCCCGACACACACACACGCACCAGCCCGGGACACACGCACCAGCCCGGGACACACGCACCAGCCCGGGACACACGCACCAGCCCGGGACACACGCACCAGCCCGGGACACACGCACCAGCCCGGCGGCACATGGCGAGACGGGGGTCCATGTCCGATGCCAGCTTTGTGTTTAGCCGCCGTGCCCTGCAGTCTCTGCAGTTTGACCGGGAGCGGCTGGAGCGCGCGGGGCTCCGAGCCAGGATCGCCCCCACGGTGAGGAGGCAGCCAGAGGAGAGGAGGAGGGTCCCCGGCCCCGGCCCCGGCCCCGCCCGGCTCTGCCTCTGCCGCGATCGGCTGGTGTACAACGCGCTCTACACGGGTCAGACCGACAGGGTCCGGCAGATCTTCAGCCGCGGAGTCACCGCCAACCTCGTGATCGAGAGCACAGGCGATGACCCCAGCTCACCCCGGCACAGGAACCGTAAGCTTCAGCCCCCACCCCCTCACAACCCCCCCCCCACCGACTGACACACGCACCCCCTCCCCCACTCGCCCCCCCTCCCTCCCGCTCGCCCCCCCTTTGCACCCACATCCCTCACCTGCCCCCCCCTCCCCTCCCCTCCCCCCTGCGCCGGGTGCACTCGGTGACTGATAATAATAATAATCCTTGTGTTTGATATTGCGTCTTATCACATCATCGAGACGTCTCAAAGCGCTTCACCGGATATACCGTAAAGTGGAGTGACTGTATTTTGTGGGCGAAACACAACGTGTATTTTCTGGGCAATCGCGCACAGCAGTGTCCCCCACTCCCCCCCCCCCATCCCCCCCACAACAGTCGTGGGGCGAGTCACCATCTTTATTTGGGGATAAACAAAACGCAGATACCACAGGTGCCGAAAATCTGAGACGACAACAGAAGTCATTGGGAACACTCAGCAGCGTCTGCGGAGAGAGGAAAGTCAAGTCAACACTCCGGGCCCACGACCCTGGGAATGGGGTGAGAGTGGAGAGCTCCAGAGGGGAGAGCGCGGGGTACGGGGTTCGAGCTGTATGTTGGTGTGATCAGTAACCGGTTAGGATTTACCACCTCCGGGTCCCGTCAGTTGGGGGACAAATCAGGAAGTGGAAGTAAACGAGTGTCTCAGTCTCTCGGGTTCCCTTCACGCCCAGAGGGAATAGTCAGGGTGGGAGACACGGACAGCGCACCCCCCACCCCACACCTGTCAATGTCAATACATCCTCCACTTTGATGCATTTGATTACAGGTCTATAACACTTCAAAAGGGCTTCACAGGATTCACTGGAAAGTGTAGTGACTGTCTATTTTGTAAACGAACACGGCAGCCAATTTGCGCACAGCATCGTTCCCGCGAACAGAGCGAGAGGACCCGAGTTTGATTCCCGGGCAGACGGAAACCCTGAGCAACTCTCCTTACTCCACATGTCTCTGTTTACCAGCGGCAAACAGGAACCCCGTTGTTAGTCGATTGGTGGATGCAAGGATTATTATTATTTTGATTATTATAGAGACAGAGAGAGAGAGAGCAGCTGAGCCGGGCTGAGATGTTTCTATTCCGAGCTGCTCCGAGAATAGAACATTCCGGGTCACAAGTTTCCGAAGTGAGTGACCGGGAGCCAGAGTCAGGCCGGAGTCCGTGACCAGCGACGCACTCGCTTCCCGTGCTCCCGTCCTGGAGATCTCTCCGGCGGGGAAAGCGTTACCGTCGGGAATACCACACGGAGGCATGAGCGAGGTGATCGTGGTGGAGAAGGCCACGGGCGGGGGCTGGGAGCTGTGGCGGGCGCTGGTTCAGGGAGACGCTGACACGATTCTCCTCCTGATCACTGACCCCCTGCAGCCCCACCTCCACCCCAACCTCGTCTTCGACATCAGCAACGTGGAGGAGTGGAAGAGCTTCAGATACAACAGCCGCGCTCTCCGTACGTACAGCCCGTGAAGTCCAGTAGCGTAATAATAATAATCCAGTGAATTGGCTGTATATATTTTGTGGGCGAAACGCAGCAGCCAATTGCACACAGCAGCGTCCACAAACAAAGGTGGATTGAGGGACCAATTCATCATCACTATTACTTCTAAAAAGATTTTAACCCCCGGAAAAGTGATCCGCCAATCCACTAACGGCCGGGTTCCTACTCACTGCCGGTAAACAGAGGCGAGTGGAGTGAGGGAACGCGCCCAATGTTTCGCCGCCTGCCCCGGGAATCAGACCCGGGTCCTCTCGCTCGCGAGGCGAGGGCTCGAACCCCTGAGCTACAGGACTGCACAAACAGCCACGAAGTGAGCAAGTGGCTGTATCTGCAGGATTGTCGCCCAGGACCCGGGAGAGAGACTACAATTCTTTCGGATTCACTTAACGGCTGTTGGCACGTTGCTGTGCGAGAATCAGCTGCCGCATTCACCCATAAAACGCACAGTCACTCCACTTTACAGTGAATCCTGTGAAGCGCTTCGAGATGTCCCAACCCCCCGCCCCCTGAAGTGAAAGGCACTGTGTGAAACATAGCTATTGTTAATGTTATTTCCCGACGGGGGGAGAGGGGGGGGTCTTTAATGTCCGCCCGAACAGGGCACAGATGGGGGAGGGGGGGAGCTTGTCAGTCCCCGACATGGGGCTTGAACCTTCTTACTCAGAGGTGAGAGTCCTGTAGTCTGATTCCCGGACACGGTCAAACCTTTAGGCACGTTTCCACACTCCACGCGCCTCTGTTTATCAGCAGGAAGGAGGAACCCGGCTGTTAATCGAACGGCGGATCACTTTCTGGGGGTAATAATACCTTCAAAAAAAAAATAATAATTTGTTCACTCAACCCACGACTGTTTGTGGGACACAGATACAGAGAGAGACAGAGACACAGAGAGAGAGACAGAGAGCGAGAGAGAGAGCAGCTGAGCCGGGCTGAGATGTTTCTATTCCGAGCTGCTCCGAGAATAGAACATTCCGGGTCACAAGTTTCCGAAGTGAGTGACCGGGAGCCAGAGTCAGGCCGGAGTCAGTGACCAGCGACGCACTCGCTTCCCGTGCTCCCGTCCTGGAGATCTCTCCGGCGGGGAAAGCGTTACCGTCGGGAATACCACACGGAGGCATGAGCGAGATGATCGTGGTGGAGAAGGCCACGGGCGGGGGCTGGGAGCTGTGGCGGGCGCTGGTTCAGGGAGACGCTGACACGATTCTCCTCCTGATCACTGACCCCCTGCAGCCCCACCTCCACCCCAACCTCGTCTTCGACATCAGCAACGTGGAGGAGTGGAAGAGCTTCAGATACAACATCCGCGCTCTCCGTACGTACAGCCCGTGTTGTCGTGTAGCTCAGGGGTTAGAGCCCTCACCTCGCGAGCGAGAGGACCTGGGGTTTGATTCCCAGCCGGGCAAAACATTGGGCAAGTTTCCTTACTCCACACGCCTCTGTTTACCAGCAGTGAGTAGGGCCCTGTTGTTAGTGGATTGGCGGATCACTTTCCAGGGGTAATAATCCCTCAAAAAAAAATTGGTCACTCAATCCACGACTGTTTGTGGGACACTGCTGTACGCACTTGGCTGCCATGTTTCGCCCACAAAGTACGCAGTCAAACCACTGTACGGTGTCCTCTGCAAAGCACTTTGAGACGTCTCGATGATGTGTTATAATAATAATAATCCTTGCATTTGATATAGCGCCTTATCGGGTCTTTGAGATGTCTGAAAGTGCTTCACAGAATGTACTGTAAAACGCAGTGACTGTATATTTTATGGGCGAAACACAGCAGCCAATTGCACGCAGCAACGAACCACAGACAGTCGTGGATTGAAGTGACCAAATTATTAACTCTTCTTTCCTTGAGGAATTATTATGAGGCGTGTGGAGTAAGGAAACTTGCCCAGGGTTTTGCCCGGCCGGGAATCGAACCCCTTTCGCTCAACCACTGAGCTACAGGACTCCATATAGTGTTAAGGCACTATATGAAATGCAAGGATTATTATTATTATTATCTTGCCCGCACTGGGGGGAGGGGGCTGACGTCCACATGGATCTTGTTCCGAGGCAGTGGAGTGTGTTACAGCTCCCTGTACACACTCCCCCCGCTGAGCACTTGCTGGCCGTGATTGAGTATCTCGCTGCACTGTGTGTGTGTGTCGGCTACAAACCCCTTCCCACCCTGGCACCTCCCTATCTCCCTCACTTGCTTACTCCCCGCTCTGCCACCCGCCACCTCCCCTCGGCTGGCCACAGTTTCCTACAACAACAACACAATGACATTTATAGAGCGCCTTTCACGTCGGGAGGACGTCCCAAAGCGCTGAACAGTCAGGTGTCGGGGCCCGAGCATGGGGAAGGGGTGGGGTAGGGGTGAGGGAAGGCAGAGGGGTGGGAGGGAGACCAAAGGCACAGTCGAGGAGAAGGGACTTGAGACCGGCCTTGAAGGAGGCGAGGGAGGAAGCGAGGCCAAGGGACCGTGGGATGGAGTTCCAGAGTGTGGGGGCAGAGAGGCTGAAAGCCCGGCCACCGATGGTAGGGCGGGTCGGGCGGGAGACATGGAGCAGCCGGAGCCCGATGAGTGGAGGGAGGAGGCAGGTTGGTAGGGAGTCAGCTACTTGTCCCTCGTCCCCTCCGCTCCACCATCTCTGAGCTCACGGTCCAGGCTGAGGCTCCAGCCCAGTGCCGGGGGAGAGAGAGAGAGAGACCACTGTCAGAGACGCCGTCCTTCAGATGAGACGTTAAACCTCACTCCCCGTCTGTGCTCTGTTCAGGCGGACGTTAAGAGCAGGGAGTTTCCCTCTCTCTCTCTCTCTCTCCCGGTGTCCGGGCCGACAATCCCCAGATACAGTCACTCGCTCACCTCACGGCTGTTTCTGGGATTTGTTGCTGTGAAAATTGGCCGCCGTGTTTGCCTTCAAAACTTTAGAGTGAATTCTGTGAAGCGGTTGGAGGCATCGCGACAATGTGTTAATGTGTGATATACGGAGGAATTATTATTTTAAGTGAAACCGCTTATCCCTGGGATCATCCTCTCGTCCCATCTACAGTCTGACATCCTTCCTAAAGTGCAGTGACCGACACTGGACACAATACAAACTATGATCGAACAATTTATACCCCGCACCAGGCTCCGTGACCCCATCACCCCCACCCTCGCCCGGCTCCACTGGCTCCCCATCACACAGAGGATACAGTTCAAAATCCTCTGCCTCATCTTCAAGGCCCTCCACAGCCTCGCTCCTCCCTACCTCTGTGACCTGCTAAGGCCTTATCAACCTGTCCGCTCCCTCCCCTCAGCAGGCTCTGGCCTGCTCCACGTCCCCCGCCCACCCCACCCCACCCCACCAGCCCTACAGCCTCTCTGCCCCCATCCCCTGGAGCTCCATCCCATAGGCCCTTCACCTCGTCCCCTTACGTGCCTCCTTCAAGGCCCATTTCAAGATCCTCCTCCTCGACCGGCCTTTGGTCACCCTCCTACACCCACCCTCCCAGCCCTCCACCCCTCCTGATCTCAACCACCAGCTCAGGTGTCCATTTATAGATTGACAGCTCAGACTGTCCAGCGCTTTGCAAGGTTCTGCGTAAGTATAATGTGTTGATGTTCTAGAGGTTAATTTTGTTTGGCCATCTGGGTGTCTGACCCATGCCCACCACCGTGCTGATCTCTGGCATTAACAAGGGAGGGCACCTTGACCTTTGTAACAACCTCTTAAAAGGCACGTAATCCCACTGAAAATAACTGAACGGTGAAGGCGCTGTTCTATGGAGCTGCCAGCCATGACTCCGCGGGCTGGAATGAGGGCGGGCAGCCAAACACACACTGAAGGGCATGTCCCACAGCAGCCAGACTGACCCCAGCCTCTCTAACCCCGAGCTCGGCTATTCCCAGCAGCACAGCGGATCCCATTTTGGGGGTTTGACTTTTTTGGGGGGTCTCCCAGGTGTCTGACATCCCCGCCCCCTCTCTGCCCTCCACCCCTCTCTGACTCCAACCCCCAGCTGGGGTTGACATCTGTGGATCCAAACTCAACCCCTTCGCTGTCTATCGCCTTGGGAGGTCCTCCTGACATGAATGGTGCTGTGCAAAGACAATTTGTTATAATAATAATCCTTGTATTTGACACAGCGCCTGATCACGTCGTCGAGACATCTCAAAGCGCTTCACAGAATATACTGTAAAGTGTAGTGACTGGACGAGAGATAACTTTCTCCAGCTCAACGTACGCAAAACTGAGGCCCTCCTGATTGGCTCGTGTCAGCGCCTCCGCACCTCAGGCGTTGACAACATCAGCGTCCAAGGCCGCACTCTCCACCTCTCAAAGCCATCAGGAACCTCGGGGTTCTGTTCGACCCTGAGCTGTCCTTTCTCCCTCATATCCGCACCACAACTGGCACTGCCTTCCATCACCTCCGGAACATCGCCAGACTACGGCACTACCTCACCCCTCACGCGGCTGAAACCCTGGTTCACGCCTTTATCACCTCAAGGCTGGACTATGGGAACTCTCTCCTCGTCGGCCTTCCCGCCCTCCCTCCACACTGCAGGTCATTCAGAACTCTGCAGCTCGTGTACTGTCCCCCACCAGACACCGAGACCACATCACTCCCACCCTCACCCTCGCCCTCACCCTCGCCCTCACCCTCACCCTCGCTCACCTCCACTGGCTCCCCATCCCCCAGAGGATCGAATTCAAGATCCTCACCCTCACCTACAAGGTCATTCACTGTTCTATAGAGCTGCCGGCCATGACTCCGCGGGCTGGCGTGGGGGCGGGAGGTTAGGGCAGCCAGACACGACCCACAGCGGCCAGACTGACCCCAGCCTCTCTAACCCCGAGCTCGGCCGCTGCCGGTCGCACAGTGGATTTGAGGATGGCGCAGTCTCTGGTGAGCGTGGGCGGGGGCTGGGGGCTGGGGGCTGGGGGCTGGGGCGCTGCGGCGGGCGCTGGCTCAGGGAGACGCTGCCACGATTCTCCTCCTGGTCACTGACCCCCTGCAGCCCCACCTCCACCCCAGCAACGTGGAGGAGTGGAAGAGCTTCAGATACAACAGCCGCGCTCTCCGTCCGTGCTGCTCAGGGCTCAGTGTACGTCTGTGTATGTGCGTACGTACGTATGTGTGTGTGCGTTTGTGCACATCAGCGTTTGCATGTGTGTCTGTGTGTTTCTGTGTGTTTGTGTGTGTATGTATGTGTGTGTGTGTTTGTCTGTGTGTGAGTGTATCTCAGTGTTCGTTCATGTGTGTCTGTGTCTTTGTGCATTAGCGTATGTGTCTGTGTGTTTGTAGCTTTGCTTGTGTTTGTGTGTGGTGTCTGTGTACATGTCTGTGTGTGTGATGTGTGTATATCTATGTGTGAGAGATGGTGCGTGTTTGTATGTGCACATTTGGGTCTTTGTCCCTGGGGAGTGGAGTCAGGGAACTCGCCCAATGTTTCGCCCCCTGCCCCGGGAACCAAACCCGGGTCATGACACTACTATATCCTCACTAATGTCCTGTACAAATAATAATTCAGCTCATATACGTAGCATCTCACAGTCATTGTGAAGTGTAGTGACTGTGTATCTTTAAACACACGCGGAGGCCAGTTTACAACAATGTCAGGGGACAGGACACAGACGGGGAGTGAGGTTTAACGTCTCAGCTGAAGGACGGTGTCTCTGACAATGGTCTCTCTCCCCCCCCACCCCCCCCCCCCCCGGCGCTGGGCTGGAGCCTCAGCCTGGACTGTGAGCTCAGAGACCCCGACGTGGGGCTCGAACCCACAACCTTCTGACCCGGAGGTGAGAGCACGAGCTCTCTAACCTCTCTCACTCTGCCATCCTTGCAGAGTCCTGAAGGGTAATAATAATAAATAGTAATAATATAGTAATAAATAATAATA